GAATTTCTTTAAAATGTGTTACGAACTCTTATTGAAAAGTATATTGTTATATCAAGATGTCATAAAAGGATCAATTTTAGTTTGTTTGGTTGTATTTTTCTTTTTATATGGAGGTTATATTTATATAGGGACTGAATATGTGATTAATTGTAGTTTGAGTACTATGGCTTGTTTCTTTCATCCTTGTATCAATACACCGGTTGAAGTTGCATATGTTAGTGGGTTTGATACGAGTTTTATCCATATTAAATCCAAGTCTTCTACCCGAGATATAAGATGTTGGTTTTAACTCATTTAGTCATTTAGTTTAGATCATATTTGTATTCTCTATCGTTTTTTGTATTCCCTTGCTCTTAAGTCATAGCTAGGGTTTCAATCTTTGTGTATCATTTTAAATTTGTTCTTCTTTTGTTCATTTAGTATTTCATACAATGCTTGAGTATTTTAGTGTGGTTGTAGTGGGTTTTTAATTTGTAAGTATATGATAAAACCAAATGGTTCTAAATCAATAAGGAATTGTTGATGTCATATAGTTGTGTGTTTTGAGTTATTTTTTTTTCGAGTGATTTAGACTTGGTATCAGAGCAGGTTTGAAACATCCCAAAAATTACAGAGAGATTTTTGTTAACAAAATAGATTAACCAAATAAAACCTTGTTTTGAAAACCATTGAGTAAAATTTGTTTGATTGAAACCATACATTATCAGAGTTAAGTTTACAAAATCGTGAAACAAATATCTTCAATGCATGTGTACAGTCTCATCAAGCTCTTCTCACGAACAACTTGCAAAGTTTGATCCAAAAATGTAGGCATAAATCTTAGTGAGTTCCCTACTATACCATATATTGCTACATACATATAATGCACCCACATATAATCCTTGAGTCTGACATCGAGCAACCAAAACTTATATCCACATACATATATCATACATAGCGGACTCAACCCAAAAGTTCACGGGCCCAACCCAACCCATATATTGGGCCACTACCAATATACATGATGGACCCCCACCAATCATACAAAACATTCCCACCCAATCATACATAACGGGCCCAACCCAACCAGACATAACGGGTCCCACCCAAGATCTTGGTCTTTCATATAATTCATAAAGTCATATGTAGTTAGGGATCAACTATATATTCGAACAGATGATCCACCTGAGAGCAAACAATCAGACAAGAACATTGCAATAAGGCATTAGACCAAGAGTACTCAGGCTATCCAACTTAAACTACATAGAACTCAAACTATCATTACAACATAATCATGTAACATAAACTTATAACATATACTATCATATTATATTACCTTGGCAACTAGCCTTCCTTAGTTACCCTGCCATTTCCCATTTCTCAATTAAGTCATTTGTTGGTCAATCATACATAACCCTGATAACCGAGCTTCCCTAAACTTACATAAACATTTACTAGGACTTCGTTTACTAGGTCATAGTAAACAAAGATACTAACGGCTTCAACTCACTCCCAATCACCTACAGGAAGATACTTGAGTCAATACCCGATCATATGTCATAGTCATTTGCAACTGTGACCACCTGACATGTAATGATGATTAGGGTTTCACATAAAATGACGATTGGGGTTAAGTAATAACACTTAACCCATTAAGGACTTAATGGAGCTCAAATACGCGTCTGATCATTGTCCAAAATAGAGCTCCCTAACTCTAGGGTTTTTCACATAAAATTATAACTAGGGTTAGTGTTCCACACTTAACCCCTTATGGAGTTAATCAATTAAGTCCAATATTGCATTAAGTTAATTGTAGAGAATTATTAAGTATTATTTTAAGTTTAATTAATAGTTTTAACGCGGGTCCCGACCAACTCCAAAAACTAGGGTTTCTTGTTAGGAGTATTAGGGTTTTCTAAACCATAATTAGGGTTTCCAACCCCAAACTCATGCCACTCGGATTAAAGTTAATTGTTTAGATAATTCAGTGCTTAATAGGTCGAGCACCACCCACTGCCACCTCGGGTAGTGATGGTCGGCGGTGGTCCATGGTTGCAGGAGGTAGTAGCCACCATTTTAAGGGTGGTGGTTTATAGTTTTTAATCCAAAACATTTTCAAAGCAATCTGGTACACATAAAACATCCATCCAATACACACATACACACACAACCACCTAAGGTGGCGGCTAGTGGTGGTAGAACAGCGGTAGGAGGTGGCAACCACCACCTCACGGTGGTGGTGGTGGATTTTTCTATGGTTTTTCCAGCCAATAATGTCCATAAAACATATTCTCATTAAAACATGCACACACACTAATATACACAGACAACCACCTTCCACGGTGGCTGGTGGTGGAAGATGGCAGCAAGGGCGACAACCACCATGGTTGGCTGCCATGGTGGTTCTTCACGTTTTCCCGCGACTCAAAACACCCATACACACATACAATATTAACAAATTCTGCAAGTCACATACACATGCGAGACCTACAGTTAAACTGAGACAACTAAACACAACCGGAGCGCCAAAGGTGGCAGAAAAACGACTGAAGCAGCGAACCGAGTAGTGGACGGCGAAAATGATGTCGTTGACGGCCGCATGGGTAACAAAGGACGTTGAATGGAGCTGAAATGACATAGAAAAGAAAATAGGAAGGGGAAATGGTTTGAAGCAGCCACGACCTCCGATCTCGACGCTAAGCCTCAAGTAACCCACAATCTCACCGAAAGGGACAACAACGATAGCAATTAAGCGGTGGCTACTCGACGGTTCGGTGCAACAACAAAGAGGTACGACGGCTACACAACTGACAGTGGCGGCTAGGGATGAGGAGGAACAAGGGTGGTGGCTGGAAATAATCTCTAGGGTTAGGGTTTTTCGGGTGAGTATGCTATGAGAGGGAAGGGAGGGGTGACAGGTCTTAACCCTTCTCCAACTTCAACGTATGAAGATTTTTCACTTACGACCCTTCCCCCTCTAATCCTTTTCAAATTAGATCCTCAATTTACTACACAACCCTTGCTCATGAAATTCTTTACATTTCAAGTCCAAATGTTACGATATAAAACCCAAATTCTAGAAATTATATCATTTAACTCCTTAAGGCTAACACAGACAAATTATTAAGGATTTGGGACAAAAATAAAATAAAATGTAAAATACATCTCAGGGTTTTAAGGCTTATTTATTTACTTATTTTTTTATTTAATTTATATAATTTATTTTATTTTAAACGGAACGTTACACTAAAAAATAGAAATTGGTTTTTTTCAAGACAAAAGGATAATAACTTACCTTTTAGAAAACTCCCACCAAAAATAAAAGGAAATTTACATTCAAAAATTGGCAAAAAAATAAAATAAAAGGAAAAACTTTAGAATTTCTCAAAAAAGTAAAGGCTTTATCAAATTCAAATTCTGAAAAATGGCATATAAATTTTATTTGATCATAGAACTCATACATGTAATTAAAATTCCAAATGCACAGATACACAACCACATATACACACATACACATAGGTACCTTCATGCATTGGAGAAGCTTTAAAACATATTCAAAGGCACTCATAGGAAAACAACTTACAGTCCTACTAAAACACAAATTTATACATCAAGATACTCTCAAATATGTATTTTTCGTAGAATAAAATCTATAAAATAGCTTCCTTTTCAATCATGTCTACTTTCTCTGATAAGTATCCTTGTATTTGCCAGTTTGTATGTTGTAAGATTACATCAGAGGGTTTTGTATTTGGTAGTGTTGTGGTTGGGGAGCTCATATATTGGCCACCTTCTGGACTTCTGTGATTATGTTTGACTTTTTCACCATGGGAAACCATAATATCTGCATTTACAAAATGTTTCTTTAGACTATTAGGTACTACTATATGATTAAAAAAAAGTTAGCACTAACAAAATTAGAATTCTAATATTATTGTGCTTTTCCATAATTCTTTTAAGTAATTTTAGTTGTAAGATTTACCAAATAGGAGGGGGTATTTTGGTCTAGTATTCATAAAGCATGATGACACATATCACTAATCTAAACATTCAAACATTTTTCATCTTACTTGTAACATGGAACTCAATGCACTCAAAGACTGTTTCCAAACAATGGCGATTTTGGCCCATAATGACTTCATTTTCTGACATAAAAGAAAATTTGTTGAGAATATTACCACAAATGTATTTTTGCATTAAACCCCTTGAAACTCTTAGTACAATCACCACTTTGTAAAATAAATATATTTCCCCAAAGCATCCTTGCTTCAGTCCCCGAAAGATATAAAAATTAACAGGAGCTAATAATAAATTACAAACTCACTTTTAATTTAAAATTAAAGTTCTGCTAAATACTACAAATTACCTCAAGATCTGGTGGTTGAACAGGGAATCTAGCACAGGCATCACCTTTAATTTCTGTAATTACAACTTTTTGATATGTCAACTGCAACTTAAATACTTTTCAAAGTGTAATGTAATAATTGACGTGCCATCATAATACTTTTTAATGACAACAAAGGGTGTATATATATATATATATATATATATATATATATATATATATATATATATATATATATATTCTATTCAAAGTAATTATTATGTTATTGTATATAACTGTGGGTCAATCAATTTTACTTATTTTAAGAAAGTGATTCATATATATTTTGAATTAAATGTAATTGAAAAATATCATCTAATTTAATTATAAGGGTATTTTAGTCAATTAATACAGATTTAATAAAGGAAAATTTCATATTTTAAGGGATCATAGATTCTATTAATTTTAAAAATCTGATTTTATGAATTATAACTATTTTAATTCGGACATTATGATAGAATATATTTATTTATTTAATTATTTACTCAAAAATAAAAATATTCTTGAACAAAAAATAATAAAAATATTCTTGAACCTATTTCTTGATCATGACTTTAAGAACTTATTGCAGAATAACAAATTCTTGAACAATCAATTGAAGAATAAAAACAAAAAATACATTATTTCTTATAGAATACGGGTAACAATTGTTAAGAATTACAACGACTAATACATTCTAAAAGAATAATGTGGTATGTTTTCAATTTGGTGGTCCGTTCTTCAAACATCAACTACTGTGATTCCAATAGAATTGGAATTCATGATTCCATTCCAATAGAATTGGAATACGTGATTCCATTCCAATAGAATTAGAATCTCACCAATATCATCCATTGAATCATCTACATAAACATACTTGATCCCTTTTCAGAATTCAACCTTGTCAAGATCCTGCACTATCCACATAAATGAAGTGTTAAATCAGAAAAAAAAAAAAAAAAAAAACATAAATTGAAATATGAATCAGACCATTTGAATCGGTCCCTTTACTACATCAATCAAACCATTTGAAACAAACACAGAGGATCTCCATATCACTCAAAACCCCAAAATTTCACTTGAATTGGAATTATAAAGCTGAGTTATCGATTCCTGTAACAAACAAAAATGGAAGGAAAAAACCCTAAGTGAACAGAGCTTCATGTTACTTCATTATATCAAAATCGAATCTAACCAAACATCGATTCACTCGAATACAAAGCTCGAAAGAAAATTAATTCTATCAAACAAGTAAAGCAATAAAACATGTTCATTCTTTTAACTATAATTATTAGGGAATGATAACATTATAGGAGGAAAACCAAATGACATGAAGGGCATACAAAAAACTGTAACCAAGCATAGATAAGGGTATGCTTCAGGAACACTGCAAATAAAGAAACACCAAAATCAGTAGCTTTAATTAAACAAAACAAACCTGGCCACAAAACAGTCAATTAGCTTAGGGATTAATAAATTAAGTATCAAGAACCTGTAACAATATTGTTTATTGGTTCATTTAAAGAAAATAAAAAGGGAGATGAGAGGGAAAAGGTTGTCATTGAACACTCTCCCGGGGTCGTTGTCGCTTCAATCGAACCAATCCTCACACCCATATCTTCTTCTTCTCTACACAAACACCACCGGATTTTCTCCCCGTTTGCCCCTTGCTACTGGAAACGAAGCAAACAGTCGATAAGCTGCTTGAGTCCTCGCAACACCCACAGAAGCCACTGCAGCTTCACTGCGATTCCCGTTTCATGTCTTCGGCCTCATCGAGCACCAGAGATGACCATTCTCCTCCCGATAGATCGTTCAGTCGTTGCCTTATGCCTCCTCGTCCGCTCGCAATCGATCGGCAAATCATTGTGCCCTCTGTGAGCCTTCGATGTGTCTGATCTGTTCATAAGCCACCACTATGAGTGATCGATTACCACCACCGGAAACGCAACCTCGACCTTCCACCAATCGACAGAACCCCCAAACGATTCCTGCACCCGATTTCTTGGGTCTCCGTGACATGCTCTTGTTGGAAATTCAACTTCCTCCATCTTTGGCCGATCAAAAGGAAAACGGGTTTAAAAGCCCTAATCTTTTAAGTGGATCCACTTGTTGAAAGCAAAGTCCCCTTATTTATTTAGGCTATAAATCATTACCATGATTATATGGATTATTTTAGGAAGTTACTAAACAGATTACTAAATTACCCTTATTTATTTATTTAATTATTTAATTATTTATTTAATTTTGATTGGTCCACATCAATACATACAATAACACAATACTTACTTTTAATACCTGAACCTAGCTCTCTCTCTCTCTATATATATATATATATATATATATATATATATATATATATATTATGTATTTTTTAGTCAATTGCCCAAAATACCCTTACATAATGGGATTTGTTAGTAAGAAAACTAAAACTTTTTATTTTTTGAAAGTTGGACACTTAAAGTATTGGTGTATACATATAAAAATAATTGTATCTGGTATGTCTCAGCGGGCATTAAAGAAAGTTGATAAACCATATGACTCCCTTTTTGTATGTCTTTAGTTGTAGCCTTCCTTTTGCTTCTAATTTAGCCTCCCATCTTTGTTCACTTTGATACATCAGTTGCTCTGAGAAGACAATATAGGTTGTTATTAATTTAACAAATCCTTTAATGATATATTTTTAATTTGTTCACTATAGGATCCTATATTTCAGAAGTGGAAGAAGAAAGATAAATAAAAGTTTGTGTATTGATATGAAATATGGCAAAGTTGTTTGATCTAGAGAAAGCTTGATGATTCAATGTATGTCAGATGCCTTTGATATAACACAAATCCTTGGGTATTATTAACAATTTAAGATACATGGTAATGCACACTTGTACCCCAAATCATAAATAAATAACAAAATCCTTTCAGGATAACAGTAAAAATAAAAATCCATCAAAGAATATGTATCCTGATAAAGAAAAAGTTCGAGTCAAAAGTTGTAGTTGTTTATTCATATTAATAAATTACGATTGTGACTTCATAAGAGTATAGACGAAGCCCATAAACCTTGTTAAGCTAGAGAACACGAGCCACCCAGACAAATTTAAGGGCCCTATTAATTCTCAATGGATATAATATGAAAAAAGCAATCATTCAAAGTACTATAGTTAAATTGCTCTAATGATGAACACATACATAGTTTTCATTAACCACTCGTAATGGTCACGGTATGGAATAGGAACCTAAGACATCAACAACATAGGCAGAAGCCAAAGCGGAAGACAGAAATTAGAGGAGTGATACCGAACCACAATTTAAAATTGAAGCATGGGATGAACTACTAACCTCTTATGAAGAATCGAAGTCACCATAATCGAAACATAGGACTCAACAGTCGGTGGAACCCTAATAAAAAAAGAGAAAAGAAATGAGAGAAGAAGATTCTAGATATGGTAAGGAAAAACGGTGGAAGACTTAAATCATGTTAATATATTGGTTTAAATTGAGGATTTAAACTTCACCGTACATAGACGACACGACCGCCACCGAAAATACCCTCTTCGTCCTTCATGGACTTCAATGTGAGCTGCGGTCGATTGATGAGAATATAAAATAAGGAACATGATAGAGGAAGAACCTATCAAAAGGATGCAAAAAAATAGAAAAAATATAAACCCTAATTCGTGATAGCAGTCCATATTTCAATATCAAGTAAACTGATTCGTTTAAGGATTCAAGCTGATGAATACTGAAGTATTATAACTGGTCAAACGGGCATGAGAAGATAAGAGATACCGATGATACAATAAGCATAGAAAAATAGGTTTAGATGTTGTTGAAGAAGAATGGATGGTGTCACTAGTTGGATTGTGTTTTTATATGCATGAGTATTTGACAAACGATAAATTGTAGGTCAGATAAGCAAAAAGAACCCCAATTTGGTCTATGGAACAGCAAGGAAAGATAGAGTGAGCTGTGGTGGTGGTGAGAGCATTATTGGGTTTAACTAAGAAGAAGAATCTAGAGGCGGTGGAATAAAAGAAAAGAAGGTGATTATGGTAGAGTAACCCATATAGATAACCCCATGAACAGTACCTGAGGTACGACGTACTGTTCCTAAAGGGGACTCTAAATTTATATATACATACACACACACATATATATATATATATATATATATATATATATATATATATATATTCATATATATATATATATATATATATATATATATATATATATATATATATATATATATATATATATATATTCACCTGAGGCACTTAAATACTTAGTTACTTAGATTGGTTGGTTGGGGGGGGGGGGGGGGGGGAATAGAAAAGAATTGAACTTATAACTGCTTCACACAAAATCATATATCTCCTCAAACACCCATCTCCATATTTATTAGGTGAAAAACTTACAAAATTTATTAGGTGAAAAACCTACAAAATGAGCAAGAAGGTATGTGTTTTGGCTTTAGAGTTTATATATTTCGCTACTTTGCAGATCTAATCCCCTATGTCCTTATTTTTGTACCAAGCAAAGTTAAAGATTCGTTTTTAACAAATTAAGTCCTTTATCTTCTAGTTTGTCACCAAACATTTAGATATTCTACTAATAAGGTCCAACACTACTCTTAGCCGAGTAACGTGAAGGTCAAACTCAAAGTTTCTGTATTTGGCAAATTTAGTCCTTCAAACTTAAACTTTTATTTTGATCCGAAGTAAACTTCTAATTAATCTTGATCTTTTAATATTAAAATATCGTTTAGATTTATTTGTGTATTTTAATTCTTTTTAATTTGTTTTACTTTTTCAAGCTATTTCCACTAACATGGTAAAACTTCTAGCCCTGAAATGTAGGTGCTGCATAAACAACCTCTGTATCAATCCAAGCCAATATTGTCAAAGATGGTGATAGTTAGATTCTAGCCATTTTGGATGGGGGTAATGGTTCTTCATCTAAATGATTTCTTAATTTATTATGCATCTACCATATGTATCCTATAAAAAGTGGTTCTCCATATATGAGCCTTATTTCGGCTTAGTTCTTAAGGGAGATAGTGTTGACATAACCTTGAAGGTGTGAGAAGTATTTCTCTCAAGGTTCACTTAATAGAAATAGATATAATTATGTTGCTAAAAGTATTCACATTTATGTTTTGAATCGGTATGTTATTGTCAATGATTATGATATTACATCATAATATGTTGAATTTTAATATTAACTGGTATTTGATCCCGCATTTTACTGCGGGTTCTTACATGTGTTTTTCTTAAACATTAAGCATGTGAATTCATTAAATTAGTATACACATAACAACTTCAAAAAACACTAAAAGATTAAAAGAAATTAACGTTTGATTATTTATCAAGAGTTGGTAAGTGCTTAGGGACTATTTTTGTAAGTTGGATGTATTTTGAATAATCCATAAGAATGTAGGAGCCATAATTGTAAAAAAAAAATAGTTCAATGTGCATTATAAGTAAAATGGAGAAGAGTTTATTAACTAGTTTTGTAAGATGAACGGTTTTTGAATAATCCATAAAAATATAGGGTTCATAATTGTAAAAAGGAAAATTTTATTACATCTAAGTAGTATTTTTAGGAGTTTAGCCACTATTTTTGTAAGTTGGATGATTTTAAATAATTTATAAAAGTACAGGGGCTATAAGTGAAAAAAGAAGTTGTAAATTGTGCATAAGCATTTACACATTTAGCTATAGTAGTTTTTTGCACACACAAACTAAAAGTTGTTTTTTAGTGTAAGTTGGATAATTTTAAACAATTTATAAAAGTATTGGGGCTATAATTAAAAAAAGAAGTTGAAAATTGTGCATAAGCATTTACACATTTAGCTATAGTATTTTTTTGCACACACAGACTAAAAGTTGCTTTTTATGTAAGTTGGATGATTTTAAATAAATTATAAAAATATAAGGGCTATAATTGAAAAAAGAAGTTGTAAATTGTGCATAAGTATTTACACATTTAGCTATAGTATTTTTTTGGACACACAAACTAAAAGTTGCTTTTTAGTGTATATATATATATATATATATATATATATATATATATATATATATATATAAAGTGAATAATACCTAACAACCTTATATAAGTTTAGGTACCTAACCTCATCAAACTACGTCATTTTACATTAAATTTTCATTGCAATCATCCAAGGTTCTTAAACTTCATCCCTAAACTTGATTTACTTCAAAATTTTTTGGAAGTTCATCATTATATTTCTCCTACATCCTTTCATTTGTAGCGGTAGGATATGAAGCCCATCAGTGGTATTCGATAGAAAGACGTGATGTAAAAGAAATATATTGTTGAAAGTCCAAAGATTTTGGAAATAATCAAGTTATGAGGTTGAAGTTTAAGAACCTTAGGTAATTACAATGTAAATATGATACAAACCGATGTAGTATTATGGAGTTAGGTATCTAAGCTTATATAAGGTTGTTAGGTATATTCACTTTACCCTATATATATATATATATATATATATATATATATATATATATATATATATATGAGAAAAGTGAATATACCCTTAAGGATATATAAGTTTACGTACCCAAACACATCATGATCAGGGGCGCATCTAAGTATGGCCAACATAGGTCCTAGGACCTACCTAAAATTTCAATTTCATTTACAATATATATCTTAGAAAAATTAGGAACTATCTTAGAAAAAATAAGGGACCTACCTTAAGTTTGTTTTTTTTAGAAATGTTTTAAAAAAAGAAAAAATAATAAGTTATTAGGATCTATTTGTTATTTTAAATTATGGGATTGATGACAAAAAATTAACAACTCTTAATCAACACTCTTAAATATCAGTAAATAAATAAATTGTTGTAATAAAAAGAAGCGAACATGCTAAAGACTCTCTCTCTCTCTCTCTCTCTCTCTCTCTCTCTCTCTCTCTCTCTCTCTCTCTCCGTTCACCATTTTATCAATGCACTAATAATCAACTAGTTTTTCATTAAAAACATACTGTTTTTTTTTTTTCATTTATATTTCAATCATTTTGTTAAAAATTT